ACACACACACACAAAAAAAAAAAATTGGGTTTCAAACCGCACCAGCTGCCTCGTATCAGGATTGAAAATTTCTGGAATAAAACCTCTAGCAGCACCAATCGCATACCCCCCGGCAACTGCCCAACCTATGTGTCCTAATGCAAATTCAAACTTCCCTTTCCCAGAGGTCCCTCCGTCCGGCATAATGTACCTACAAGAGAAAATCATTAGCTAGAAATAAGAAACCCTAGAATAACAACCACTCTCGCTTTGGAAACGAAAACATTCTAAATCAATTTAAAGCAGCAAGATCCGACTAACTGAGGCGCAGATTGGCGGAATATGGAAGGGTCCATTTGTAAGTAAGGCGACATTGTTGCTTGAATAGGCATGCCGGCATTTTTTATTTGGTCAAGTGCAAATATTGGCCGGTTCTCATATATTGAACTCTCCGCTTCAGCATTATAATCGGATGAAGTAGGTATGTCTGTGACTGGTTGTTCCTGTTCTGGAGTCGAAGACCCCCAAAGCCATGACATTTTTCAATAGGAAAGGGAGTTATACCCAAACACAGAAAGCTAAAATCATTTGAAAATTATAAAAGTTGAAAAATTAAAAAAGTCTAGATTAGTAAACTCTATATTTTCGTAATTACTGTAATGATACGAGATTTCTGAATAACAGTAAACTCTAATAACGAAATAATGCGAGCAACAAAATGTAATAACACAGTAACCTCGAATTTACATAAATGCTTCGGAGAAGAGCGAAATACTACAAAAATCATTGCACTAAATTATCTAACTCACGAAAAAAGCATTCCTGTCTAACAGCAAACTTAGGAAATTTTAACCAAACAGCATTTTAAATAAGTAAATTACAACGAAAATAACTATTGTTCGGTCCTACCGCAACAAGTGAAAAAAAAGTGAACTATAGAGGCATACAACAATGACAAAAGAAAAATAATTAATCAAGAACGAAATTATTTGCTTCCGGGACAGTGCAAAATAACAGAGCTTACGCAATCAATTCTTAGGTTAAGAAAACTCATAAACTAGAGGTCTTCCACAAGTAACTAGTCAGTGGCTGCGTCTCCCAGAGCGAATGGAAAACTGCCAGCCGAAAAAAGACAAAAAGCTACTATCTATACTTCGAGGTGAATTATCCCTGCTCCAAGTTTTCGGGTTGGCACATTACCAGATTCAGGCCAGTCGCATTGTTGAGAACTGATATTTGTAGATCTTTTATGACTTCTACGCGTTTACTTTCCCATATTTTCCTCCCCTTCCAAAAACAAGCTTCTATATTACCAGTGCAAGTTTACGCTCTTGTACAGAAGGAAAAAATCAGAATAATTCAATTTTTTATCAGCTTCCAGTTGAGAGAAAACGTCAATTTGAGAGTTCAAACTAGAAATGTTTACCCGGTTTCTTAATATAACCACATTTCGGTTTTTCCAAAATGCAGCAGAGAGCAAAATTGATGACAACCGCATGTGCTTTATGTTATCCTAACTCCGCTTCTATGCACCGTGCAGTCAACTGTTAGATGGAACTATTAGCGCCAACTTTTCAACTTAGGACACACTCTAGCAGTGATCTACAAACTTAAAATGTATTTCTTAACCTCTGAAGTCCTCACCGTTGTTTAGTACACGGTAGCAGCAAGAATTTGTGTTTTGCAAAGGATCTTGTTAATACAGACGGAGAACTTGCAGGTCGCAAGGCGCGTTTTACGCACCTGATACTTTACTACCTCCGGTGTCTGGTCAACAACGATGTACAACCCTTCCCCATGGGCTCGAGATCCAGGAAATTGTCGCCCTCTACTGCTGGATCAATTTATAACTGAGTAGTTGAGTGATGCATATAAAATGGCCTTGACGTTCATCCACCCTATTGTTACGTAGCCTACTTTTAGCAAATGAGCGGAAACATGAGGACAGAGCAACCCAGCAACAATGATCAAATTCTTCAAGCAACTATGTCATGTAAACCATGTAAACCCATCGCACACATCTAAAGAGAGGGAGGAAAACCCCACAGTATGGTAATTCATATTAGTGACACTATATTAGGCCGCCAAGAGCAAAGTAACAGATATAAGCTGGATTGAATAAATGTTACTAAAATAAAGCTGCAGCGCATAGTGTCTTAGGAAGTGTCTTTTTGGAATTGCACACTGACCAAGTTGCGTAACAAACAACTTCACTTACAAAATTTTTTATCAAGGTACAAAATAACTGCCGATAGCAGAAACCTGTCCCATATTTATTTGAATAAGATAATATATTTTAAACATTTGTAACAAGCCGTATAAGAAGCGAGATCAAAAGAAGTAAATGAACAATTCATATGAGAAAAATTGATAACAAATATCTAACTGCTGAATGAATATCACCATGCTACAATCACTTTTACCAATAAAAACTAAATTTTGTCAACTGCGCTTATCAGAAGCGGCTTACTCAATAAAATTTTATTTTGTTATCACAGGCAGAACTACTACAACCATTAACAATACCTGAAGACGTCGGGGAAGACTTAAAAAATGACATGCTATCGTCTATCCCTGTTCCCACTAGCGTATTCAGATTCAAATTTACTGTAACGTCTACGGTCATTCCTGCCGTGGTTAAAACCTCGATCTCCATGTGAATACCTTCTATCTACAGAACGGTCATAAGGTTGGTCCTGAAAGTTACTGTAGCCCCTAAAACCCTCATACTTTGACCTATGCCTATCATCAAAACCTCTTGAAGAACTGGAAGACGAATTTCTTCTCCTGTCGGGACTAGTGGAAGCCGGATTTGGACCAAATGTATTTGAACCACAATTATCAGACGCTGAAGAAGCTGGAGTTGTCGGATAAGAACTGCTGCCATCAGGAGATGGAAGCTGCTGACCTGTCACAGATGGCATAAAAGCAGGCAAAGGGATAGACGGGAATGAGACACCCGGTAGTGGAGTAACACCATTTGATGAAGAAGGTGAAGTAGTTGTTCCCACTCCTACCTGAGATGTTGTAGTCAAAAGAGGGAACCTGGCAGATGCCGCAAAATTCCCTTGTTTCAATGGTACAGTGGTCGGCTGTTCTGGAGACACGCTTGACGAGGCAGAAGTAGCAAGTAATGGTAGTCGGGGAACTCCTGGAGCAGTTGAGGGAGGGAACGGAGAAATGTTAAAACTGGGTGGCACAGTAAAATTTGGTGGAGGCATTGTCATCCAGTTCGGTGGTACTGACATAGGGGGGTACTGCACCGGAGGCGGTAACGACTTTGTCGTGGTTGAGGGGCTAACCAGAGCCGGTGGTTCCGTATTTGAAGCCAATGAACCAGCAACCACAGATGAATGAATAGAAAGTGCACTTTCAGTAGACTGCATAGGTAACTGAATATTAGATACAGAAGTAATACTTGACGGAGAGATCATTTTCTGTGGAGCTGAAATCACAGGCGTTTGAGCAGATACAGTGGAAGGATGAACAACCGAAATGGGAAAGGAAGAAGATGAAGAAACAAAATTAGCAGGTGCACCAGCCAGTGAACCAGAATGGGACTGCGTTGCCATTCTTGGATCCATTGAATGCGAATTACTGGGAGTAGTAGGACTTGGTAAACCCTGAAAATTTCCATTTTCAGTATTCAAGTAAAATTCAACAGCAGTTATCTTCGTTGCTCCGTGCTGACGCAAAATAACGAAAATAAAAAATGCTTTCCAATCAAAACCTCTTGAAATGGTAATGCTGCAGGAACCTCATCAGTAGTTTTGGTAGGCAAGTTTGATCTAATATGATTGGGATCTGAAAAAATCCCACACTAATATTAAAAAGAAGTTAGATTACGAAACTGTAAAGAAACTTAAAGTTTTCAAGAAAGTAGAAGAAAACAAGTAAGTTTCAACAATAATATTTCACAGAATCCCAAATAAAAAATTTTTAAAGAAAAACAGCCAAGGAACTGGAACAGAAAATGAAAAGCAGGCAAAAAAAGATCAACTACCTAGTGAGTGTTCATCGTCATTCTCAACATCCATATCGGTAACCTCCGTATTCTCTTTAGGTCGCCTTAATTCTAAAATGATTAAAAATATTTCAAACCAATACAATATTCTTGAATAAAACGCATACAAAAATGCAGGAAAAAAAACTAACGTTCAAAAACCGTTTCAACCCCAGCTTCGAAAGGATCCTCATTAGGTGTCGGAGAAGGTGCATCACGCGGAGGTGAAGCTCCCGGATATGTACTAGTTTTTAACATTTCTTCTAATTCCACACGCACTGTATCAATGCCAGAGCTAAACTTCTGATATGCCTAAAAGAAATAATAACGAACAAGCTTATGCCTAAAAAAATATATCCTAATTAAACAAACAAACTACTAGTGTTACTTCCCCTCTTAACTCCGAAGATTAAAAGCAAATTAGATTTAGATTCACTGCACCTTACGAAAATAAATTAATTTTTACATCTTCAACGACGGTTACATCTCGAAGCTGAAGAGTGAAGAATCGTTTTCCTGCTTCCAAAACTTCCATCAAATGAGTCCCTCGCGTCCTATGCTTTGCTAACGTAGAAAGGAAGTTCTCTAACTTCTTCTGTGCCATCTCTATTTCCTCTAAGAACTTTTCTCCCTCTTGCCGATCTAAAAAGCTGTTATCAAAGCCCTCATGATTAAACTTTTATGACCTCGTAGCCTTCACTCGAAGATACCTCACTTATTGTTCCTCTCACTAACAATAGCCTTTTGTCTGCACCATAAAACATGTTTCTTCACTTACATCATACAAACAGATTACACCTTTTCTCAGTTCCTCAATTTAGTAGAACACATAAAGTAATTTCTTTGAAAAAATCGCAGAGAAACTACTAAGAAACTGGAAAATCACGGATATTTCAGCTTATTGTTTATTCAGACCCTTTTAAAATAAAATATTATTTATTTTGCCCTCGTCAGATAAAAACTATTGTGTGGAAAAGGAAAAATTTCCTGAAAGGAAAAAGGTATATTGGACAATTCTTTACAAGAAATATTCTCCTTATTGCCGGAAACAAATCAGAAGCAGCAACAGTCAAGAAAAACAAAAGCAACTACTCACCTTTCATGCGACTTTTAATTTTCTCTTTAAAATTAAAGTCGCTTCTAGCCAGGATACCTCTTGCCCGTTCCATAACCATTTCTCCTTTTTGATAAGCTTCGATGTATTTTGCTAATACATCTGTGTCAAACTCAAAGGCACTTTCATCAGTATCATTTAGGCCCACTGCAATCAAAAAAGACGTAGAAGTTAAACTGAAATGTATTACTGATAATAAAGGTAATGCAACAGAAAGCCAGCAGTCTGGGAATTTTCTTCCGATTAAGCAAAAAAAATACGAGTGGAACGAACTTAGCGCCGAACGCATATCGTCGAGCTGCGATTTCGAATATACTTGTCGTTCATCAAAAATATCAAGGATTCTTTCGATGGCTTTAATAACCGCCCCATTGTCCCTGAAAATAGAACTACTGTGAAAAAAATAATTTATTATGTTTTTGAAATAAAAAGACCTGGTAAATTAAAATGAGAAGAGGATGAAATTATCATGAAATCGATGTAAATGTCTGCAGTACCTGTTGGCAGAAAGAGACTTAACCACTGAAATAGCACTCGTCCAGTGCGGTGCAAAAGCATTCAGAAGAATACTTGCATCTCCACGTTTCTTAGCTTTCTGACAAACATCGTTAGCCACGTAAAAAAGTGCTATTTGTAAAGAATCACTTGCTGAAAACTACTGGATGTATTATTACTACAATTATACTTGTATTTTGCTAAAAAAATTTGCAAACGCAAACAGAAAAATAATTTTTTTCCGGAATTTAAGACTCAACCTTTTTCAGTTGTCACTTCCAGTGCAACGAATGAACTGTCAAGTACGCATAGAATAAATTAAAAAAATTGCGCAACAAAAGTCGTTTCCTCGTGGATTGAGGAACGATGAGAAATTAGATGTATTCCAAAAGGAAAATACTTACCACTTTTGAACAACTCATTCCATACTTTCACTATTTCAGCAATTGAATCCTTATGATGTGTAATCCACATTGATGTGGTTTGAATTGATTCAGAAGTTTGATCAACAACGCGAAGCCTGCGCTCAATTATTTCAGATGATAAGACCATCTGAGCTGTAAAAAAAGTAAAGTTTATAATTTTTTCAGTAAATACTGCGAAGTTCTGCTGATTTGGTTGACTGCAAACGACAGCTGCAGTAAAGTGCTGAAGAGCGACAAAAAACTGGTACAGATGGACGGTAAAAAAAAAAAAAAAAAAAAAAAAAAAAAAAT